GAGAGAGAGAGAGAGAGAGAGAGAGAGAGAGAGAGAGAGAGAGAGAGAGAGAGAGAGAGGAGTGTCGGGCAGGAGGATGTCGGAGATTGCAAACGAGGAGAACTTGGAGGAATGGCCGGGGAGGAGTTGGAGATGGGCAAGCTTACCAGGGCGAAGCTGCAGAAGACAGCGTGACACTTGGAACGACTTCGAAAGTTTGAATCACTGAGGCAAACTGCCACACCTATGGGCCTGGGTATTTTGCAAAGTTTCCCACCCGGTATGGTTAGCAAACCGGGTAAAACAGGGTACAGGACCAGGCCCGGACGACACGGACCAGATTGCAAATTTGCACAACGGCCTGACAGGGGCAAAACACAGGATTAGGCCCAAAAGGGCATTCCACTCTACCCACATCTTTTAGGGGCATTTTGGCATATACAGGGGTATTCTGCAAATTATCCAAAAAAAAAAGGGAAAAAGAAGAAATAAAAGTGAAATAAAAGTGCTGGAATAATTGTGAAAAGAGATTATTTGCGATATACCCCCCAAATATGAGATATCTGCCATAACGGCCCTGAAAGGTGTGGGTAGACCAGAAGGCCATTTTGGGCCGAAATCTTGGGTACACTGGAAGGCCATTTGGGCCCAAAATCGTTGCGATATACCCCTGTAAGGTGGGTGAACAAATTTGCAATGTGGACCTCACCCCAGACGGCTGAACAGCCAGGCCTGCCCGCTTTTTTACTCAGTTTTCACCCCCCTTACAGTGTGGGCAACTTTGCGGAATCCCCAGGCCAATCGTTGCAGCAATGTGGCTGCGTGGATGCCTCAATTCGAACTTCCAAAGGGCTGAGATCTATGCCGAAGCCACCTCACCTTGGGGTGTCCCCTTGGTAAATTTCCTCATCTCCAAGCTCCTCCCATGCCATTCCTACAAGGTCTCACTTTATTGAACAATCCTCCATTTCCCCCCATCCTTCGGCCTGTCAGCTTGCTTCCTTGTTACCCTTCCTCCTTCACCTTGCCTCTCTCCTCCCTAATCTCCTCTTCTTGTTTCGTCTTTTTCCAGACGTTCATCCAAGCTTGTCGCT